GCGAGGCAGGGCTGGCGCACGGGGCCTCCCCCGGATGGCGCTGCAGCTAAGTGTCCAGCCGACGTCCTGGCGTCTGGCTCTCCGCCTCCTCCCCTCCCACGGCTCGTCCCGTGGCATCCTCTTAGTGGCCGAGCTGCCACGTGTCCAGGTTCAGTTTCCTCCCGGGAGCCCTTTCTACCCGCCCTGCTGCCGACCACGTGGCCAGTAGGACAACCTGGGCTCCCCATTGCTTGGGTTCTTTGCCAGGCTGCTCCCCATTTTCATCGGGCCGTGGCCCACCCGAGTAACCGCTGTGCTCTCCTCTGCCACCTTGAAGCCCCTAATGCACAGGTTTCCCCCATTAGATGCACTCAAGCATCTAGAAGATTGGACACGCATGTGGTGAAGCGTGAAGTGCAGAACGGGGTCACCATGGCTGGGAATCTCCACGTAGTTACTCTTGGTAAAGGGCAGGGAGACAGGATTCATGGGCACCGCTGTGCCTTTTGCAAGTAAACTGTGAAGTCCTCCTGGTTGTGGAGAAACGGGAGAGGGGGCATGTGAAGATTTTCTTTGGTTATGACCAAGTCCAGCGTTTGGCAATTTAAGTAAAATTATGTGATTTCTGTGGTTTCTTAAGTGGGAGACAGACCAGCTGATGTTTAGAAATTTTAGAGATTAAATAGCATTTCTCAATTAGCAGGTGCTTTGGGAAGATAAATTAGTGGAGAAATTTAGATGTTGCTGGACTGGGAAGCTAATAAACGGGGTGCATATGAAGGATTGCAAGAGATTTTCTGAGGCTATTCAGCTAATGATATTTATCTGAGTAGTGGAGGCCACCCATTGCAATTTCTGTTGTTCTTAGGGATTGAAACAGTGGAATTTAAAATAAAATCAGATCTAAGTTTTATTTTCTCCCCTTTATAAATTCAGTCATTAGTGTGTTTCTCCAGTGTTACTACATGACAGTGATCAAGGGAAAATATTGTTGTATAAATACAGAAAAGCCTCTGAGCAGAAAGTGAGTGATACGAAAACAATGAAACATTGTTTCTGACCAAGAGAGATGTCAGGGTTTAAAGTAGATAGTTTATGGGTCAAAGCAAGGCAATCAGCGTATGGGTAAATGGTTTTTATGGCTGAAATTTAAAAGGAGGTGAATTATTAAATCTGATTTTGAAAGCTGTAGGGGCTAGGCTCTATGTATGGCTGAGTATTACTGTATAATTTCTTCTGGCCTTTTTTTTTTTTTTTTTTTATGCTGACACTGCTAAGGAGAACTAGCCCTTGTAAATCTTACTGGAGTTGGCAGTTCTCTCTCACCTGACTTTAAGAAAAATGAAGGCTTGATACTTTGTAATTATTTAAACAGCGAAGAGAGATAGAAAGAAAACAGGCTGGTCATTAGGAGAGTTCTTGGGTTTATGAAAAAAGTAAAAGGTTATTTTCTTGCTCTGTCTTCATGAGGACTTTTGTTTTCACGCTTGTCATTATAGAAGACTATATTCCATGGCCTATACTGCACTTCAGCTTGGCCAGTAAATTTCCATGGGTTTAGCATCAGGCTTTGTAGTTTTGTTTTACATAAATAAAACAGAATATGTTTCCCTCTACCAAATCTAACTTAATTTTAAATCATGAACAAGATAGCTACATGTGATGATTTGCAGTAATATAATTTAAAGTTGCATGCCTCTACACTGATGAATAGAAATGAATAAAAAGGAACATTATTTTATGGCAAAAATTGCTCTAAGTATTCCAATGCCACTTTAAAATTCAGTGCAGGCAATATAATGACGGATACATGAGGTATAACTTCCTTCCTTAAATTAGGAAACCAGTATGACACAGCTTGTTCTCTATGGGAGAGTGTTTTAAATGAAAATTTTAATTTTCCCATGTATTTTTTAACATAGGGACCCAGGGATCATGCATAATCAGGAGTAGCTAAGAGTGGAGAAAGCATGGCAACAGTAATATGTTGAAGAGAAGCAGAATTAGATGTCTTTGAAATGCTTTATATTGCAAATGGATAGTTCTTTCCACAAGGTGAAGAATTTGGAATTACCGAGCTACATAACTGAACAGTATAGTACCTGATACATAAGGTAATTCAACCCAGAAAAGAAAATCCATTAGGATTGTTCTGGAGCATTGATTCGTTTTGAAAATTTGAGCTTAAACCGGAGTGCAAAGATCACCACTAGCCATGAAAAGAAAACAAAAGGCTGGATTCCTTTGATTATCCCACAAGTGGCAGATGGAGGGATAAAGGCAGAGTCTTTCTTCCCAAAAGGATTGGCTCCATTTTTATTATTTTCTCTGTTTCATGTGTGTCAAGTGACTATTAAATAATTAATTGAGAATTGATGCCTCTCCCAACACCAATCATCCATTGATGGCTGGGGATAGATGATTTCTATTCAGATGAAGTATAAACAAAGCCCTATATTCACACTGATTGCCACATTCTTTTTAAAAACAAATTTAAAAACAAATAAATCCACATTCATTAGAGAAAATTTAGAAAAAAATTAACAGCAAACATTAAATAAGATTTAAATAATGTCTCAACTATAATTTTTTTTAACTTAATAAAAATGTCTAATATTATTTTAGTTGCCTTTAAAAATACCATAAAATTACTAAAAAGACAGTAAGACAATTCTCTCCTCTCCCTTCACCTCATGGCCTAGAATATCTTGAAACAGTTTATGCACTGGTGAGTTTCTAGAATGTTTTTATTGAATGAGTTCACTTTTATCCTTACTCTATTTTTTCAGGCCACGCATATTTTATTTTTATGTAGTAACAGAAAGAGAACAAAAGAAAGGGTATAAGTCATGAATATGTTAGTGGCAGAACCTGGGTAAGAGCACAAACGCTCATCTGGAGCCCTGGATTATCATGCCTGCTGACTAAGATTTCCAGTTTATCAGGATTGGTATTTTTTCAGGTTCAGGCATGAATCAAGAGAAATAGTATATAAATGGCTGATGGAACAGATCTAACTTATGCATCAGTTCCGTTCTTTGACCCCAAGAGTCAGTCCCAGGACTTAACTATCAAAGAATGTCATCTTTCCTAAATGATGGATGCTCATGGAGTACATAGCTTTTTCAGTGAATCATACGCATCTAAGTGCCCCAGGGCCATTATTATTTAATACGTTTCTACTTAAGAGGACTAATAGTTTCCTCGCAGCTTAAAAGAATTAGTGAATTCCATGCCTCTCCAACTTAAAAATGAGAATAAAAAGCTGACCAATGAAAAATTATGTTAAACTTTTTATGATTTCCAGATTCAGGTTTCAGGTATTTTGGGGTCATTTATACTAACATTTCATACCAGTCTCTGAGTGTCTCTTTTGTTTACATTCCCTGTTTAATGGCCGCAAACACTTATGGCTTGTGATGGTTGATTGCTTAATATTAACAAACATGAATGTGCGATAGACATCATTTAATAAAGCCCCTGTTTTCTATGACCTTAGTGATAGGACCAGATAGACCGTCATATTTATTCATTTGCACATTCACATCTTGATCCAACAAATATCAAGGGCTTTGTATAAGCCTGAGTACTAGACTCAGGCAATAAACTGATAAGCTCTCAGAAACAGTTCCTTTCTTCACAGCCCTTGCATTCCAGTGAGGAAGCATAATAATTTAAAAAATAAATGGGAATTTTAAATGGTAGTATGTACTTTGGAGCACTGGTACACACGGTACTGTGACAACGAAAAAATAGTGTGAACAGACCTAATCAGAACAGGTTTTCCCGAAGAGTGATGTTTAAACTAAAATCAGAGAGATGAGAAGGAATTGACTAGGTAATAGCAGAGGAGAAATATTAGGTACAGAATCCTGGTGCAGGAGATGATGGCATGGCCCATTCAAGCAATGGAGAGGAGCTGCTTGAGTTTGGAGCTCCTAGGGAAAGGAGCGGGACCAGGTCCTGCGGGGCGTTCTAGACCTTCTAATCCTTATTGTAAAAGTGGTAGAAAAGCCATGGGAGGAGTTTAGTGTGGAAGGTGAGGAGGAGGATGCCATTATTATATTTCTATTTCAAAAATGTCACTCTGGCTACCGTGTATAGAACAGATTGATAGGGGGCCAAGAAAAAAACATTATTTTCTGTTTGTCAGTCAACAACATTTGTTAAGCACTCACTGGAAGCTGTAGACAGAACTGGGGCACATAGAGAAAAACAAGATCCTTTCTCTAAGGAAGTTAGAATCTTTGTGAGTTTACTTACGTAGAGAAACCCAAGTCCCTTCGTTGTTTGGAACACTTTGGTTCTACCTGGAGAAAGCAAAGCATTGTCTGAACCCTTTATGTGATTTGTCCTGTGGCTTCTCTCAGATAGACCCACTGACTCTAAAGGCTGTGGAGCACATTGGCAACGTCATACTTTATTATACCCTCAAGTACCTTGCTAGACATGTCTTTCTTGTGACAATATATATTAGTTGATTGATTCTAGGCTTTCAATATTTTAACTGCTACAGTAAAGGAAAATATCACGTAGGTACTTATGATCTTTGTTTAAAAAAATATTAAGCATTTACCATATAAGTAAGTACTAGACAAAAACGATCCAGAGATTTTACCAGTTTTATTTGACTTCTACCGCTGTAGGAAAAGGTGGATCATCTGTGCTGAAAAAGCTTGGAGCAGAATGGAGAAATTCATCAATAATTTTGATCTAGATAAAATGTTCTGGGAAGCTCTTAAAGTATGGCAATTTAAAGGCATTTGATCTAGTAAAAAAAGCTTATCTTGACTATAAATTGATAATCAAAATTGAGTTACTATTCTAGAATGCTACATAAGGGGTGGGCGGTATTACTTTGAGATTTTGTTTAACTGTTCTAAGATGCAATTGTAGTGTAGAAGTTAAATTATACAGACTCTGGGGCCACTCTGCCTGCTTTGAGGGGTTATACACTCAAACCTCTGTTCCTCAGTTTTGTCATCTGTGACACTGGGATAATAATTATACTTACTTCATAGGGATCTCATCAGTGTTAAGCAGGTAACTTTATGTCAAGTTTTGTAAACAGTGCCAGGCACATAATAAACATTCTGAAGTGTCCACTTGTTATTTTTCTTCTAACTACTACCACTTTCACTAGCACAGAGCCTTTCTTTAGGGGCACTTTCTAGCACATTTCAAATATGGAACATTTTTTCTCTCTCATTTAAAATAAATTCTAATGTAATAACGATCTTTGGTTAGCTCCAGAGTTTCAACTTATAAAGAAAAGCAGATTGTAAAGACAGTGACCACAATTTTACATAGTGGTACTCTAATGTTACTTATGTCTAGGCATGATTCAAAATATTTTTAAAAATTGTTTTCTATTTGAGATATTATACTAAGATTAAGCAGCCTTTAACACAAAAGCATTTGTAAAAACTATCTCTCTCCACATAAACTAATACCTTTATCCAGCCCAATCCTATAGATAGTGATTTTTACTGTAGCTATCCTAATGTATAGATGTAGATATCTAATGGATCTGTCCTGTTTATAACTTGTTTTTGAGTGTCTCCTATAAGTTCAAGTTATTTATGTGTATGCTGCAGAGAAGCTAGATAATATGTTTGAGCTTTAAAAACTCAAACAAGATATTCTTATAGTTATTATGAACAGGTTATATTTTTAGCATAAAATTATATATATGCCATTGAAATCCTGTTCCAGTTTTGGATATCATTAAATAAAATGTGATAATTAAGCAGATTAATTTTTTTAAAACCTCCTGATTGACTGTAGAAAGGACTTTATAATATTTCTGTTATTCTTAGCTGCATTGTAAGAATTAGGACCTGAGCCACACTGGTTCCTGAAAACAGTCATTGACCCCATCTATCCCTTTCTCAGTGAGCATTTGGTGACCACACTGGTTATAGGGTTAACTCTTATAAATGTGCATTGAAAATTAGGCCTTATCATAGATATTCAGGTTTTGTTTTGTTATGGAGATATAATAAACCTACTAATAG